AGGAGGACGTACAGTTGCTAGTAATGCTCGTGCAGAAACAGCTGTTTCCGTATGTGTTTGGACAACTATCGGATGGATTCGATTGACCATCTCGCCAAGTCGGATTTCACTCGTAGGTTGCAGACGTTTCCTATCCGACTCTGTTACGCCTGTAATGTTTTGCTGTAGAACGACCAGATTTCCTTCCGCGTCGGCAAGGAGATAGACATTCTCTTCAATGGGCGCCACAGCTGTACTCCAGAGTGTCTGATAGTGGCGTGCTACCTCTTCGAACTTGGGTTCTTGTTCACCCTCTTCTGGCTGTGTGTATTGGACCAGTGACATGCTTTTCATCACATCTGCTACGGCAACCGTGTCACCAACTACGGATATATCAATTGGTGCGGTAGATGTTCGGTATGCAGTATGCTTTTCCAGGAGGATGTTCCCAAATCTGTCACGTGCGAGCTTGAACACCGAGACCTATGAAGAAGTTAGTATATAGTCTACGGAACAAGGCAAATCCCCATACTGACCGACTTGACTAGACCAGCTACTAGTAATGTATGATCCATAACAGCGAGGGTGCGACAAGCTCCCATGAGAGACTTCTCCACGATTAAAGAGAGCTCTCGGGACCTGTTCACTTCGAATATAAGGATACGGCCACGGATATGGTCGTCCCCTACATCGTCTAGGAAGGCGGTTCCAACGAAGAACAAGTCCTTAGATATCGAATTACCTACCTCGTCTTTACCATAATTTAACTGGGACCTAATGACACACTCAACCAATTCGTCGGGGCGAAGATCGTACGTGCTCAAGGGCCGAAAGAGCATCTCGTCTGCCAGGACAAACGAACTGCTTACTTCTTCTACTCCGTTGGAAATTTTCCGTTTCACTGTCCCTAGTCCAAAGGCCTTTTCCATGGGGGAGTAAGCCAGGCGTCTGACGCTGGCATGCATGGGCAAGGTATGGATTTGTGTGGTGCGCTCTTCGTCCACGATTGCTATCTTCAGCTCGTGCTGGCTCGACAACGCGATTGAGCCTGGGTAAGCTTGGGTATTGAGACTACAGATACGGCTAGCGCTTGCCGAATCAACTGCAGAATATACAATTCTTCCCTCGGATGCATGTATCAAGCTTGGGTGATCACACGTTGCAAAAACATTGTACTGCCCATTACCACGCGGAAGTTCCTTGAATGATGGCTGCTCAGATCCCAGTGTAATCTTGCTAGAGTTGAAGAGGGAAAAGGCATGGACGTCGAAAGAGAAGGAGAAGACGGTTCCATCGGCCATTGAAACGAACAAAGTAGGAGGTTTGTTAGGGAGTATTTCAGCCACAATGACTGATCGTGGGATTGCTTCTCCGGGTTCGCCTAGGGCCTGCTTGTTCTTTACTTCGAGCTCAGGAAGGTCGAGAATGATAATCTCGGCGGACTGTGGGAGACATACGATGCACGCTTGGGTTGGGGAGGCCGGTATAGTCATGCCGGAGACCTGGTTATCTGCCTCAAAGTCTCTGCTTCCGACCAGTTCGAAGGTCGAAAGTGACATGCAAACAAGCCGGATGCCTCCGAGTACGAGAACGAGATAGTCATCATTTGCAGAGGCGGAGGTGATGGTGAACTCTTCATAGGAAGACCGCCATATTATCATGCCACTGTCGACATCTATCGCTCTAGATGTACTCTCGGTCACCTGGATAATACGATTTCCGGGTATATTGGTGGCAAGTAGGGTGCTTTGGGAGAATACAAGGCCAAGAAAGCCGTCCTCCTTCTCCTCTACATCACCATCAGCAGAGAAATGGAATACTCGAGTTTCATTGACGAAGGAGACAAGGAGAGTATCCAAAAATGGTTCTGGACAGGCAGAACGCAATGTCCAGAGGTCAGTAATATGTTCCATGCTGGCAAGCACGCCGAGCTCTTCGATCCCAACACCACTACGAACACTACGCAGGCTACCATCGCCAAACGCTCCAGATCCGGTGACGATGCGTGTTTGGCCTGATGAAAACTCGCGAGTGGCACCCGAACGGTCACCCATGTCCATGACGGTGAAGTCGAGAATGGGAGCGATGTTAGATATAGTCTGGACAAGGTCGAAGCCGCCCTCTTTAATCTGGATGACCTGTGAGTCGCCCTGGTGGGAGCCGACGAAAACAATGCCGCCGTCAAGATAGACAAGCACGGAAGCACGAGAGGTGACACCGAGGAAGTCAACCTTCCATGTATCAACAGCATTTTCAGCGTCAAGAACGAGCATGAGGAAGAAGAGGCGGCCATAGTCATCCGCTAACAGCCACCGTTGGCCGTCCACCTGCTCCCAGGCTACAAATACAGTGGACTCAGCCAGTGGCCTTGAAATAGTTTCGTTCCTGGAGACATCAACATATTTGATAGATGATTCTCCGATAATCAGGAGACCACCTGTGACCGTTAGCGGTTATTTCTTGTAAGAGTGCTATTTATCTAAGGATTAACGTAGCCTACCTAATGGACGGGGAACAGGAATGAGGATACTAGCACCGAGATCTACCTCGTCCGAAAGAGTAGTCACATCTTTTAGTTCAGCAGCGCTTCCAGGATCACCAGTGATGATTGCATGGGTATACTTGAGATCCCGGAGTTTGAGCTTGACCTTGCCCTGTGTGTCTTCATACAGAAGCGCAAAACGAGGGGTGTTCGAAGCCTCCTGATCCAGAAATGCAGAGGACCTAACCATCAGCTCCTCAATCCGGACCTGTAGTGGCTCTCCTAGCTGTTCTACTGATGTAGAAGCCGAAGAGGCCGAAGCTGAAACTGCTGACTTAGCCCGTTTGTGCGAATCTGCGGTGACAAGCGGGAAGATAGAGACAACGCCCTCATACACTTCCAGGGTGAGGAAGCTGCCGGACGGGTCAATCTGACATCTATCATCACTGTGAGCTTCTCGCAGTGACCCATCTGCAAGATCGATGTACTTCCGCTCGGTTCGCAGCTGCTCGTGGACCGGGTCCCAGGTGATAGAGAAGTATGCGTATTGGTCTGTGCCAACGAAGAGAGCGTCCGTCAGCGCCAGACCGCCAGCAGTGGATCGAGGAAGCTTTTTAAGGAGAGTGACGCGGCCATAGATTGCTTTGGAATGTTGTAGGACGAGGCCATCTGCGGATTGGGTGTAGAGCTCAAGGCGGTTCGCTTTCCTGGGGAGCTGTTAGCTGAATGCATTGGTGTAGATGAAGGAGTGGACTGACGCGACGACAAGACAGTCTTCGTCTGGGCTGATGAACTTGGCTCTAAGGGCGTGTCGGATGCTGCTGGCGCCGTGGATAGGAACGACGTAGGCCATTTTACATTTTGCACAGTTGACGTTGATGTTACCGTATGTCACTTTGTGGAGTTGATAGTTGGAGCTGATGTTTGGTGAGTTAACTAATTTACTTACATAACTAGGCGTGGCCGAACCTAGCTAGTTATGACGCACCTACCAACACTCTACTTCAACATCCAGCGACTTCTGCATTCACACCTATATAGAGACTCAAATATACCGTCTACGAGATCAGACATGGAGCTAATGAAACTACTTAGATTTGCTAGTGAGGTACTGGTAAACTACGGAAAAGTCCTTTCCACGGTGTTCCTTCTCGGTAGCCTCATAGACCTGCTGGACAATGTCAGCGAGTTCAAGGGCAGTGCCAGACTCCCTTGCGGCCTCGACAGCGAGACGGAGATCCTTCTTCATGAGACTGACACCGAAGCCTCCGGTGTAACCCCTGGATGCGGGAGAACCCTCAATGACACCAGGAGCCGGGTTATTAACCTCGCTGGACCAGCATCTGCCAGTAGACGAGTTAATCATCTGGCCGAGAACAGCGGGCTGGAGGCCCCATCGGATGCCCAGGTTCATGGCCTCAGCGGTCGCTATGTTGGCAACAGCGAGGAGGTAGTTGTTTGCGAGCTTGCCGGAGAGACCTGCCCCTTGGTCACCAAGGTGCCAGACCTTCTTACCCATCAGCAGCAGGGCAGCCTCTGCACGCTCGACCAGTCCGGGAACATCAGAGGGGGCACCAAGCATGAAGGTAAGTGTGCCAGCAGTGGCACCAACGACACCGCCGGACATGGGGGCGTCAACAAAGCGACCTGATCCGGTGGATTGGACAGCAGCGGCGACTTCACGAGAGGAGGACGGGTCGATAGTCGAGCAGTCGATGAAGAGGCGGTCCTGGGCGAGCTTGGGAAGGCCGTCCTTGAGGATGACATGGAAAACGCTCTTTACATGTTGAGGCTCTGGCAGACTCGTCACCACGGTATCCTACCATCGTTAGCCCTCTATTTGTCTATCTATATATGTGTGTGCATATATATGTAGGGTGAATACCGACTGCTCGGCCAGCTCTCTGGGCCCGGAGGCGACCTTGACGTTCTCGGTTTCGGCGGTGAATCTGGCGGTGGTCTCTGGGTTGGCGTCGCAGACGAAGAGGGTATCCGATGCAGGTATCTTTGCCCTCAGGTTCCTCGCCATGGGGTAGCCTGTCTATAAGTTAGCGTCTGGACCTATACCAGCAACATCCTGCGCTCAATGACCAACTGTCAATGCCCAATGGCAGCCAGAAGCGGAATCGACATACCCATCTGGCCAAGGCCGATGAACCCCCAAGTGGCATGACGGGAGGCTGAGGAGGAGAAGAGGCGAGTAGAGGAGGCAGATGAAAGGCGAGGAAGGGCCCGGACCCGTGGCAGCAGTCTGTTTATCATGGTTGCTGCATCTATGTCTATAGCCGTCTATTGCAGAAGTGAAGAAGCGCAAGCCAGGCAAGTCCTCCCCATAATATGAGGCAGAGCCGGTACTGCAGAGGGCGAGAAGTCAGCGGCGGGCGGGCGGCCGAGCCGAGCCTAGCCGAGGTTAGTCGTGATTAGCTAAGAATGAGATGGTTTAGGTAAGCCTGGTGAGAACGTTATGGAAGGTTTAACGTACACTGATTGGACGGTGTGTTGTATTAAGATGGGATTTACTGGCTCAGCCAGTCAAATAACAGCTAATTCTAACCTGAGGCTGCTACATTAAGGCCAAGACAGGTTAGCTCTCATTTTCTGGCGCCTGACTGGTCAATCCAAGTTTAGCTCTAATTCTCCCCGTATACTTACTTTCCCCTGACCCCTGGCCTTAACTAGACAAATCCTAGCTGTGGTGCGAGCAGTTTGATCCTCCATCCTTCGGCTAGGGTGATGCTAAAGCCGGTGCTCGTTAGTCATCGGAGTCCTCGGGGCCCTTTGAGGCTCTTTCGCGTTCCGAAAACAGGCAGACATGGCGCTGGGAGAGTTAGAATATGGGCAGGCAGCAGGCAGCCATGGAGATCAGCAGCCACAGGGATAAGGCGAAGAGTATAAAAGATACAAAGGCTTTAGGACGGGAAGGAAAGTGGCTTGACACCCGCTCATATTAACTATCATATATATCACCCGTTTTCAACATGGCAGTGAAGGCCAAGGCAAAGAAGTACAAGAAGGAGGAAGAAGAAAAGGGAGAAGATAGGAAGGAAGAAGAAAAGGAGGCAGAAGAAAAGGCGCCATTCTCGAACCTCTGGGTGAGTCAGTTGTTCTACTCCTGTCGCGTTGGTGGTTGACTGGTGCCTGGCGTGGTTGTGCATACATAGCATATTTACGATGCTGACTGGAGTAGAGGATATTTTCATATGGCACCAAGGCTGACCTTGCCCTTATGGGCCTCGCCTTCTTCTGCTCTGCAGGCGCTGGTATTGTACGTCATGCGCTCACACACGTAAATCCATACCTACTAATAGGAATAGGCTCTGCCTCTGATGAACATCGTCTTTGGTATGTTGATTGGTGCATGCGTCAATGATTTCCTACTTGGCTGACCAACAGGTGCCCTTATCACTGATTTTAACAACTTCTTCCTTCCTGATTCTACCGTCTCGCCACAGCAGTTCAAGGCAGCCGTCAATAAGAATGTGTACGTCTCCGTCTCCAATTTACACACTATTTTGTATGAATATGCTGACATGTTAAGTCTTTTTATCGTCTACCTGTTCATTGGCAAGTTTGTGCTCAGCTATGTGTCTATGGTATTACATTCTATACCCATCCATTGGAACGTGAAAATAACCTGAATGATCAGTTCTGCCTACGGACAAGCGGAATCCGCATCTCAGCAAACCTGCGACTGGCGTATCTGACGGCACTCTTCCGCCAGCCTGTCTCCTATCTTGATGCCATGCCCATTGGCCGCCCGACGGACACCATCACTGCCTCATCCAACCTCATCCAGGCCGGCATATCAGACAGGCTTGCTGTGCTTGTCCAGTCGGCTGCTCTCATCGTTGCAGCTTATGCCGTTGCATTCTCTCGGTCCTGGTCCTTGACCTTGGTCTCTTCATCATGTTTGCTCTTCATCCTGCTCATCTACACCGTGGTAATACCTTTCTATCTGCGTCTCTTCAAGGCCATCGAGGCTGCCAACGAGGGTGCCACAGCTGTTGCGGGTGAGGCTCTTTCATCCATTCGTACTGTTGTTGCTTGTGGTGCGCAGGCAAGTCTTGTCAACCGTCATGCCGTGCACATTGCAGAAGCCAGGCGTAAGGGCCTTCAGGTCTCCCCAATTGTTGGGCTTCAGTTAGGACCGACTAATTTTGCCATGTACTGCAATTTTGCTCTTACCTTTTGGTTTGGTGTTAAGCAGTTCACCGCAGGCAACGTCTCTGATGCTGGACCAGTTGCGACGTACGTTTGCCCCCAACTCGCCAATATATTATGTTTATATTAACATTTACAGTGTCATCTTCTCGGTTATCATCGTGGTGTCGGCTGTCTCATTCATTGCCAATCCAATCATTGCTCTCTCCAAGGCCATCGCTGCATCCGCTCGCTATTTCTCTGTTATTGACGCACCCCCGGTCAAGACAGAAGGTATCAAGGATGTTGACCTCGCTAGCTGTGGAGAGCTCGCGTTCAAAGACGTTACTTTCTCCTATCCGACCAGGCCAGGTGTCACAATCCTTGACAATCTCTCTCTCGTTTTCCCGACTGGCAAGGTCACTGCTCTCGTTGGGCCTTCGGGGTGCGGTAAGAGTACTATCATCGCCTTACTTGAGCGTTGGTATCAGCTGTCAGATCAATTGGATCGCAGTAAAGTGAAAGAAACGAAAGAGAAAGAAAAAGAAAAAGAAAAAGACAGTGAAATCAAGGATGAAAAGTACCAGGCAGACAAGGAAGAGCGGAAAGAAAACGCCGGGTTTATTATGATAGGGTCACACTGCATCGACGAGCTCGATCTTAAGTGGTGGCGTTCTCAGATTGGCCTTGTCCAGCAAGAGCCCTTCTCTTTCAACACCTCCATATTCCGTAACGTCGCCTTTGGTCTCGTTGGTTCTCAATGGGAAAATGAGCCGGAGGATGTCCAGCGCCAACTTGTCATTGAGGCCTGCCGTGAGGCGTTCGCGGATGAATTCATTGAAAAATTGCCTGAGGTGAGTTCTCCAATGCATTTCTCTGTGTAGTATATGCAAGAATCACTTTTATGACAGTGGATGTAGAAATACGATACGATGATAGGGGAAAACGGAATCAAGCTTAGCGGTGGGCAGCGTCAGAGACTTGCCATTGCTCGCAGTATCATCAAGAGGCCATCGATCCTTATTCTCGACGAAGCTACCAGTGCTATCGATGTCAGAGGGGAGCGTATCGTGCAGGAGGCACTTGATAGAGTCTCGAAGGGCCGCACTACCATAACCATCGCGCATAGGTTGTCCACCATCAAAAAGGCAGACAAGATCATCGTCCTTCGTAAGGGAACTGCAGTTGAGTCGGGCACTCATGAAGAACTCCTCGCTCAGGAGGGCCTATACCACAGCCTTGTGCATAACCAACAACTTGACATGGAAGACGATAGCAACAACGAGACTGTACAAGCTGAGGTGGAGACTGGGAAAGATGGCCCTCAGTTGACTATGTCCAAGACGAAATCTACAGTCGAAGAGGGAGACCTCGAGCAGGGCCTCACTCTCCCCGAGGAGCCGCCTAAAGAACTATCCCTCTTTGACTCTGTTGGTGTTTTGCTGTGGGAACAGCGCAAGTACTGGATTCTATACGTGGGCGTCCTCATTGGAGCTGCCGGGTGTGGAGGTATGTTTCTTCCCCAGATCTTTTTTAGGGTTTGTCCTTCTAACGTGTGTAATAGCCGGATATTCAATTCAAAGTTATCTCTTTTCCCAGCTCATCACAGTCTTCCAGCTCACTGGTTCCAGGCTAGTAGAAAGAACCAATTTTTGGTCTCTCATGTTCTTCGTCCTCGCCCTTGCGGTGGCGTTTTTTTACTTTGTCCTTGGCTGGAATTCCATGTCGATATCTACCGTAAGACATCTGCTTCTTGATATTTATTCAAAAACTAACATTATATAGTACGTGTCAACCACGTACCGACAAGAATACTTTGATAGTATGATCCGAAAACCGATAGCCTTCTTCGATAAGGACCAAAACTCTGCGGGTTCCCTCACCTCACGTATTTCATCCGATTCAACCCAGCTTCAGGAACTACTGGGACCAACAATGGCGTTTCCTATCATCTCTGTCTTCAACGTGATGGGTTGTATAGCCATCTCGTTCGCCTTTGGCTGGAAACTAATTTTAGTCGCTATTTTCTCCGCGTTTCCACTGATAATCATCGCTATGTTTGTCAGGGTTAGATACGAGGTTCAGTTTGATAAGATGAACGCTGCTGTCTTTGAAGAGAGTTCACAGTTTGCATCTGAGGCCTTTGGAGCTTTCCGGACAGTTACGTCACTTACCCTGGAGAGCAGTATTGCAGACAGGTATTCAGATTTGCTGAAAAATCATGTACAATCTGCCTTTGTCAAGGCAAGAGTTGCTGCCCTCGTCTTTGCTGCATCAGATAGCATGGAGTTACCCTGCATGGCCCTATGCTTCTGGTATGGTGGCCAGCTTCTCAGTACGCATGAGTACAGTGTCTTGCAGTTTTTTGTCATCTATATTGCCGTTGTCTTGGTAAGTTGGACGTTGAGATTTCAGTATAGTACCTTCATTACTAACAGGTGTACAGGGAGGTCAAGCGGCAGGACATTTCGGAAGCATCAGTCCTAGTAAGTTACTTTTGTCCCTGTCTTAGAACTGATACTAACCAACTACTATAGATTTGGCTCAAGCCAAGGCAGCTGCAAACCGCATCATGAGTATCCGGCCTGCACCAGACGACAACAAGAGCAGCGCTGTTCTTGATCAATGCGAGGGCGGTATAGAAATCGAATTCAAGTCGGTTAACTTCAGGTATCCTTCACGAGATGTGCCAATATTCAAGAGCTTGTCATTCACAGTATGTTTACCTGTCAAAGTCTTACTTCCTGGTCTGACAGATATCATAGGTTGGAAAGGGGCAGTTTGCCGCCCTCGTTGGCCCGTCAGGTTGAGTGTTTCCCCCCTAGTTTACTGTTGCTTAATATGCTCTGACATGCTGTAGGGTGTGGAAAGACGTCTGTCATATCGATTCTCGAACGGTAGGTAATATGTGATGTTTAGGTATGGGTGGAAGGCTAATGCAGAGCAGCTTCTATGACTATCAAGGTGGGCATATCCGCCTCAACGGAACCGAGCTTAGCTCGCTTGACCTAAAGCCCTACCGGCAAAGCGTGTCTCTTGTGTCACAGGAACCTACACTATATCAGGGTAGGGAGTCCTTCAAAAATCTACCTAGGTCAACGATACTAAGGGCGACTTATTAGGAACTATACGAGACAACATTACACTAGGGCTCGATCCGGACAGCTTGACCACCGAGCAAGTACACCAATCGTGTCGTGACGCGGAGATTCACGACTTTATCACATCCCTTCCGGACGGTAAATTTCTCACATTTCCCCATCATGCCCAGCCCTAGCCTGCTTGACTGACTTGACTAGGTTACAACACGCAAGTAGGACAAAAAGGGCTGGCACTGAGCGGAGGCCAGAAGCAGCGTATATGCATAGCCCGTGCCTTGATACGGAACCCACAACTGCTGCTTCTCGATGAAGCCACGTCCAGCCTTGACCCTGAGTCTGAGAAGCTGGTGCAGTCCGCAATTGAACGTACGGCAAAAGGCAGGACGGTCCTGGTGGTCGCTCACCGTCTGGCTACGGTGCAGAATGCGGATGTCATCTTTGTCTTTGGGGACGGGGGTATAGTCGAGAGCGGTAGCCATCATAGTCTTCTGAAAAAACGAGGCGTATATTATCAAATGGTATGTCTGACCCTGTTCCTGAATAACGGAAGCGCATCTAACAATCTTCTAGTGCGAGTCACAAGCTCTTGATCGTTGATAGAAGATTATATTCCACTCCTAGGGAATTTTCCCCCCATTTTTGTGTATTGTAGAAATATTTATACATATCTCTCCTTACTCCTACATAGTTCATCTCTAATAGACTTATCTAGTATATCTTTTACCGCTACAACTAACTACTAGTTAGTGCACCTTTTTTATCAAGGGGAAGTAAGAATAAAACCATCAATCTAGATAAAAGATAAAAAAAAAAAGTAATGATAGAGGTGGGATTCGAACCCACGCATCTTTCGATACTGCGATGACTAAGATCGTCACCTGAACACAGCGCCTTGGACCGCTCGGCCACTCTACCTAAATCGTGCTAGAGCTTGTCTGCGTGCGCTATACAAGGGTGAATGAATCCCAGGCTGTCTAGTAAGCTAGTGCTTCTCTTAACATCGTTGGCAATCTCTAACACCGACTGTTAAGCCGCTGACAGAATACAAAAGAATGTCAAAAACTAATAATAATAATAATAATAATAATAATAATAATGTGATTTCATACTGACTACTCCGTACATACAAAGGCCTAGTCGAGAGAGTGGAAGAGCCAGACGTTGGGCTCGCAGTACTCCCCCACGTCCCTACTAGGGTAGTACTGCATGGGCGCCAAACAGCCTCTGGGCGTAAAGATGACGGGCGCCTCTGTGTCACCAGGTTCCACCCAGACGCTCTTCCGCTGCTTCATGGCCTTCTCTGCTTGCTGGCGGACGTCGAGGTCACACCAGTTCTTCCACTCCGCTGCGCTGCCCCGGATATACATGCTCTGGCGCGCGATCTTGATCATCCGAGCTCCCAGACGGACGTGTTTTCGCAGCCAGGGGTCGAACGGGATGAAAGCTGCCGAATCTTCGTTGCCGGCCGCCGAAGCCGTTTCTGATGAACCGTTGCAACCGCCTGTTTCTCTGCTGGTGGTAAGCTCTGTAGCGGCCGTGCTGGGTTTTCCGTTCTGGCCTCCGTTCTGGCCTCCGGTCTGTTTGCTCCACCCGAGGTATTCGGCCAGGTCAACGTGTGGGAAGTCTGCCTTCCGGGTAGGTCGCAGTGGCACGACGAGGATGGCCAGGTTTTGGGCCAGCGCAACCTCTTCCATCGCCTTGATGAGCATTTCAGCAACATTGTAGCTTCTCCAGGCCGGGAGGACGGCGATAGCTAGGGCGGAGAGGGCGTTGGGCGGCTCTGTCAGAGTCCAGCTGTCCATGTCCTTGACCTGGTCGTGAGTGAGGGCGACGGGCTCGAGCTTCTTGTTCGTATCCTCTCTAGCGATTACCTGGTGGACACCACGAGCCAGAATGGTATCAAAACCTCCATCTGGTAGCGTTCGCAGCACTCTTGCAAAGTCCGACCCCTTGCTGTCGCCCCGGATGCCCGCCAGCTCCCTCCAGAAGAACGGTATGCAATTGCCATTTCCGACGATAGTCTCTGTGCCATCTAACGTATGGACGGCGACAAGCTGGCATTTGGCAAGCTGGGGAAAATCGAACAGCCTGTTGAAATAGCGCTGAGTGGTTATGGCTCCGTCCAGGAACTCGGGCCACATAAATATCAACGGACAGTCTTCTTTTTGTAGGAGGGCCAGGAGGTCCGGTCTCTGTGCTCCGGTGAACACAGTGATCGTGCCACGATCCTTTGTATCCTCGTCGACAGGCATGTTTTTTTGCTATAACGGTGTCTTTTGCGAGAAGGGGGCTTTGGTCATGGACAGTTGGAGTAAAGGACGGGTGACGACAGGCCTACTCTTTCGTCAATGCGAAAGATACCAGCTGAACCAGCTCGATATACTTATGTGTTATTATGGGATATCTATAGTTACGTGGACAATATGGCTTTAACCGTGGAAAATTTTTGGGACCTTCTCTTTACGAAGGCCGGCAGAGGTGAAGATTATTTGGAGGAGCAGCTGAGAGGCGGGAAGCAGCAACATGCCGACAATCCCTATGGAGAGGATCTGCCCGAGTTTCCATCTCTGATGGATTTCCGGTGGATAACTAGCTAGTTAATGCAACACAATTGACTGTGGTCCTCGACGAAAAGGGGGCTACTTTTCGACCGTCTTCCATGCTGTGTTGCGACTTGAGAGAACGGAGGGGACAGGGATCAAATTCATGTAGTTTGTCACTCGCGGCATTGCAATACCAACCAGGTACTACCTAGTAGCCGTATCTGCGAGCTTGAATCGTTAGTTAACCCGTGGAGCCTTGATGTGACAGGTCCAGAAGTTTATACATGAGACTGCCCAGCCACCTGCACGCCGTGCTGCTCGGAGCATGTTTCGTCCCAGCTGGAGTCAACCGTGATTGGAACTGGCCGGCATTGCTCAGGTAACCAAGTAGTCCGTCCTTTGGGATACTTTGTAGAAACCGATGCTGTCCATCTCCCTCATCGCGCTCAACTCGCCACGGCTGTTCCTGCGATGCACCTAATCCCTCTTATAAATAGTTAGTTACATACTAGTTAACTAACTAACTAACTAGTGAATCGAATTTCGTCATCGACAAACGTCACTGAGTCTTAGGCCCTCCTTCTTCCTCTTTCAGTACAAGTGGCGACTTCGACTACGTTGACTTCGTCAACTTCATCCACTTAGTTATTGCAAATACATCGACATAATATTATATTGATAGTTACGGAAATTCAGGCAAAAAGTGACTGATATACCCGACTGTTTCAGCAACTCAGGCCACTTTCCCAAGATATTCCCCCAGCCGTTGGTCTCGAGCGCATCAGAACTTGAAAAGGCCAGCCCACGCTTCTTGCTCTGCGTGCTCTTCAAGCAACGATACCCATCGCCATGGCGCGCAAGCCCGAACAAAAGGAGGGCTCTTTCTCCTCCGGCTCCTGGAACATGCTCTCTCCCCAGACCCGGCCAGCCGGACGTTCCTCTAGTCCTGGTGACGCGTGTCCTCCTTTCTGGGCTCCTGGAGATCGACCTGGCTACAAGGGCGTCTTGGACCGGCACAGGAGAAAGATGCGTCTATTTAGAAGCATACGTCTGGACGCGAAGCAGTTGCGGCACGTCCTCACGTTCATGCAGCACAACTATAGCCCCGAGGGGGTCGAGTGGACGCCCGATGTCCTCTTCGCCTACGTTCCCAGGACCTTCGAGGGCGCGACCACCACAGAAATCATCGCCGGCCAGGCACTTTTTCATGCCATCACCCCTTCTCTCGATGCTATATTCCAAACGTGAGTTTAGGCTTCTTTCTCTCTGTCTTGTCTGTGTGATCCGTTGTACGGAGTACTAAGTATTCTTACCTCCCCGAATAGCACTCATAGTAACGTCTTGGCGATGAACAAGTCTCCGCGATACATCGTGTTTGAGTTCTTTTGGAACGGTAGCCCGCCAGTCGTACCTGTTGAATTGCAGGACCTGCCTAACATCGAATTAACCCATGAAGAACCAGAGGAGATTTACCCGGATGCAGTTGAAGCGGGATGTAAGATAAATCATTCCAGCTCGTTTTTTAGTGCGTTTTTTAGTGAGGCTTGACAGCACATTCACTCACCTTTAGGACTGTCGGTTACGTCGGCGTCATTGAAGAGCTTGGCGAGCGGCAGTTGGTCCTCGTCACAGCTGGCCACATAGTCGACAGTACCGACTTGATCCAGGTACAAGACCAAGAACAAGATAATAACACTTACAAGTCGTGGGTCGTGCCAGAGTCCGAGCGGATCGGGGGGGGACGGTTCCCTTGTAACAGAGAGGGGAGCCCATCAACCCCTTTCAGCATCACTCAAACGAGACCGACTAGATACCTCGTTCCGCGTTACGGAGAGTGGGTGATCATGTCGATTGCAACCACTTCAACCCCGACTCTCCTATTGACGATACTAATGCTACTTCCTTGTCCGTCTTTGACCTGAAGTTAGGCGATATTGACCGTCTCAGACACCTTCCCGTTGAAGGGTGGGCTAGTCCAGGTCTACAAGTACGGTGCTGCATCATTTTATACCACGAGATTTCTGTGCCGGATCAAAGATCAAGCAAGGTAGATAGGCATGAAGAGAACTTATGCCGGATGAAGGCGCAGTGGACCTCCGTAGGGGAACGATTTGCAGAGGGAGGAGACTCTGGCAGCCTTGTATTCGCCAAGGATGGAGACTGTGTGTCCCTATGGCACAACAAGCTATATTCCCTCTCGCTGTGGTCAATATGTGAGGATATATCAACTCGGCTTGACGCAGACTTGTTCTTCTGTAGCCCAAGCGATCTACCTCATTCCAAGCCTTCCGCTGTGTAAGTTGAAATCTTGAAGGAGGCGATCACCCCTCTTTGCAGCCGATATGATTACCCCTTCCATTAGCGTTTACAAAGTTCACTGTGCCAAAAAGTTCTACTTCCAATAGTCGACAAGCTATAATAGATGATATATTCTGTAGTTAAACAAAAACGGAACAGATAATACTTCCCTGCTTACAAGAGGTTGCAGTCCCTATTTTATTGCTGGTTAATTTATTTTGTACACCCGGAATGCTTCGATACTTGCATTACCCATTCCCTAATATCCACCCTGTAAGGTTTCCAGTGTCATAATTGTAGTGAAGTTGTTGCAAATTCCTGGGATGCAATCAATCAAAGAGGAAGGCCACATTATCTCTGCATCCTCATTTGCCTTCTTCAGGCGTTTCTTATTGGACAGCTGGCGGATAAATATTGGGGAAGTTTTTGCTGACTTATATTAATTCGTAACTTAATTGGCTGTCATGCCAACGAATAAGCTATCAAGAAAAATGAACTCTAGCCAGTCGTTGCGGGCTAGTCCACTTGCGGTTAGTCTCGCCTGTAGAGTTAAACGGCGACCCAGCGAACCAACAACCACCAGCACTTGGACAAATTCAAGTTATGAGTTTAGTGATAACACTTGTGCCCGGCTTCGACTTGATAACGCAAGCCAATTGATTCCAATAAAGACAGAGAAAAGATGATAGCCAGTGTGCACCGGCTGTACATACCTCGGCGGCTTTTTACACGGCCAGTGAACATAGGGTCATGCCTCTTCAGCTCCACGTCGACCCCCATTGTGGCTCCAGGGGTGAGTGAGAGTCAAGTCTCGGACGAGCTACGCGTGCTTCTCGAAGCTGGCTGGGCACTCGATCAGCCTCGCAGTGGCATTGAGAAGTCCTACTACTTCAAGACATACACAAAGTGCCAGGTATGTGGCTGGTTTAGGATGTACTTCCCCAGGACCTAACACTCTGAAACTAGGACTTCTTCAATACTGTTGCCATACGGAGTAAAGCGAAAAACCACCATTCAACCATGACAATTGTAGATACTTCCTTTCTTATAGTTTTAATTAACCCGGCCATGACTGACTTGCTAACTCTCCACCTTAGAAAGCTGGCTCCGTCCACGTTCACTGGACAACCCATCATCCCCGTGGGCTCACACTTCTGGATACCCTGATGGCTCGATTCTGTGATGAGCAGTCTACATCGATTGGAACCGTAGATCAGAGCCAGAGCAAGAAATGCCATCCTGCGCCGGCATAGGCGTTGTCCGGCTAGCTCTTATACCTTCATAATAGGGCAGTAAGCCAGTTTGATTATGCATCTTAAGGAAAGCCATGTTCTCAATATTGTACTCTATAATACCCCAGTCATTATTATTATCATGCTCTCTCTGTCTCAATAAACGTTTCACATGTCGAGTTTCGTATATATGTTTATCCTATTGCTTCCACCACAGTGCTGGGTTTTGTTCCCCGAGCAGAAGAAGCCACAGTCCGATTCAGGCTGGATGGTGCTCCCAGGGAACGTATTGGCTCCACAGTAACACTCGCTGAAATATTCTACGCCAAAGTATTTTGTGCCATTGCAGAAGGAGGCACACAGTTCTACCGTCATCTTTTCGTTGTACGTGAAGCTGCCTGACAGGGTTCGGTTACTGGGGGAGTCGCTGTAGCATCCCGTGTAGTTGTACCCCGGTATCTGAGGACTGGTGATGGGTACCCATTTGTCGTCTTTATAGATAGCGATCCGGTATCCTGCACCGCATGTCTCAGAGCTATCACCACCGCATGGCTGGTTACACTCCGACTTGGGTGCTTGCATGCTGGAGTTACTTCTCGTGTCTCCGCAGTAACATTCAGTTCCATACTCAAGGCCGAAGAACTGGTAGCCTTTGCAAAGGCTAGAGCATGCGGCAACCGTCATGTTTTGGTTCACAAAGGCAGCACTCGTGAGGGCCCTTGACTCAGGGGTATCGGTGTAGCATCCATCAAAGGTGTAGTCTGGCATCGTGGGGTCGGTTGAGCCAAAGGGGGCACAGGTTGAGCCCAGGTCTGCGGTGTTCTTGAACGAATCCGATATCACTGCTCCACCGCTCGTGAAGGAGACATCGAATTTGGCATTGGACCTGTACGCAGCTGCAAGGGTTAGGTTTCCAGCATACAGTGTATAAGGACCAACGGTTGTCTGTGGTGACATTGGGACCGACTGAGTCGTCAAGGCTGGATTCACACAGCAAATTCGTGGCGTTTTAGTCGTAACAGACAGTTTAACACTTCCTGCATTGCCATTGTTCCGGACCTTTTGTGAAATTGTCAGTCTATTGTCGTCCCCTTCACTGTACAGTCTTTATCAGGGGCTCCAAGGGTGGTCATACAGCGGCTACTACAACGAGATTCCCAGGCACATTTCCTCCCACAACGCAGCTCTGTTTGGATTGAAGCATAATCGTATCCTGAACAGGGTAACCAAAACCATTGTTATCGTAAAGGACGGTCTCTCCGTTGTTCAAAACGACTCGTACGTTAAACTTGGAGATGGCTGTCTCAACGGGGAAGATGGCATCAAATCCATAGAACTAGAATCATAATTAGCACCTATGTATACTATGAAATGATCAAGGGAGGGGGAATATAAGGTGAATGGTCATTTACTGCAAAGGAATCATCAAAGCCCTCAGCGGTGCCCTTGTACTCAGCAGTGATAACACAAGATCCACGACTAGAGCCTCCTGTACGGTCCTTGTAGACAAGCTCGACCTTTGAGATAGAAGTGATCGGCCGGGAGGTGGTTCTGACCCGGATTTCACCAGTGAAGGCGATGACGCTGCCATTGCCAGCCAGGGAGAGCTGCAGCCTGCCTGGCTTCACTTCGTAGGGTGCTATGGGGGCCGTCAGGTTCACGCCCGAGGGAACGACCTCTATCATCTTCTGGAGGACTCTGGCACATGTAGATCGGAAAGTAGCTTGGTCCGCCAATGCCTTGATTGTGACATTCCGGTCGGCCGTGAAGACTTTCGTATCTGCGTCCCGCTGGTTTCGCTTCGCTGTTGTGCTAGTAAGTGGGTTTCCGCCCACTCCGCCCACAAAGTCCGCTGCCACCTTCTCGTCGAAGGCAACAGTTGAATCAAACAGCTGAAAGTCGTTTGGCGTGGACCCGGGGACAACGATCTGGGGGAAGTTTGAGGCGTGGACTCCACCCATCGTGTGTCCGCACGCAGTGACGGCGATCATGTCCGAGACATTGAACCCCATACGCGTAAACTGGTTGATAAAGGTGCCCTGGGAGTTCTCAGGCTGCGGCACCCCAATCGGCCCCCGTGCGGTGGCGTCGATTCTCCCGGTCCTGACCTGGACGACCGGCCCTCCGCAGGACCTAACGGCTGTGTAGACGCCCAGAGCTATCAAGTCAGCCATGGAAGACCGCGTAGAGAACAAGGGGGTATAGGTCTCCAGCGTGGTGTTGAACCCTGCTCCGATGTTTTCGCCCCCTTTGCCGCCCAGCTCAAACACGATCGAGGCATCCAGGCCGCCCACGCCTGTAAAGGAGCTTCCTGTGGCCATGTCATGGAAGGCAGTGCGCACCCACTCAGCGGATGCGACTCGAGACGGGCCTTGCTGGGAAAATGAGCACGGAGTGACGCCGGCTGAGAATCCTCGGGCATGGTAGCCGGTGTTGAGAAACATGAGGTCTTCTAGCTCGTCAACGGAGGACGGCCATGTTGGCAGTGCCAGGACTCCAGAGAGAGCAAACGCCGCCCATACGGCGGACAAGTTGATCAGCATCCTCAGCGTCGTCCTTTTGCTCTTTCTCGTGGAGCCAGAGGCCCTTTGATGGATGGTGACGATAGGTATATGTATAGCTAGCAGCTAACGGAGGACAGCAGGTATATGGTTAGCAGTTATATTTGCGTTCCAGCCAGGCAAGAGATGCAAAGGACGCCGTCAGCCTTAGCTCGCACACCTTGCCTGCTCGACTGAGAAGTATGGAGTGCTCCGTAGCTGCTGGACGTTGGCATTGGTAGCTCAGGGGGTATAGCTACGGAGGGCAGATGTTTGTGCATCTTCGCCTGTCACTCTGCGGCTCCCGGCACCATTATTACTGCGTTGCCAGTTGCCAGCTACCCTCCGCAAGTAACTAAAGCATGCCTCGATTTGTCCACGCAACTTCACATCTCAAGAGAGTTTCGTTCTTTCGGCTGTTTACTTGGGTATCTTGCGTGCCAATTGATCCTTGATCCATGCTGCGTCGGAGGTCCAGGGGTGCGAAGAGAAAAGAAACAATTTCCAGTGAGCTGCAGCTTCGAGGACTAAAAATGTGCCTAAGTGGATCGCGCTAACTCGTAAGTTTGTGTACTTCATATAATGGTTGAGATCTGGGCTGTTGGACTTGTCTTTGCTTTTTCTCCTGATGCTTTGCTGGTGGCTTCACAATATGGCATGCTTAAAATAGTGGCTCTCCTGGTCAATATCACCTGGTATTAAGTGCGAATGTCTCAGTTTTGCATGCTGAATCAGGCATTTACGACATTTCCTCTCCTCTCGCTGCAATTGTTCGCCGAAGAAAAGCTGGGGGAGCAAATATGCCTGTCTCAGCTGAGCTGGAGCCCCAGTCACCATCCTTAATGATGGGTGGTGAGTGTAATCTAGCCGTGATTATTTTCTAAGCAGGCTTCCCAGGCGTCTTTTTTTTTTTTTTTTTTTTCGTTAAATCTCGTACAATCTATCATCGGAAAACAACTTGAGACACAAATATTGATGATGCAACGCTGTGCGAATGCTAGAGTAAAGCATGTCTATCTAATGCGGGATGGCCAAATGGCTGCAAACGGTGATCAACCATAAAAAGATCTTGTGTAATTACAAGAGAGAAAGAAAAAGGAAAGAAAAGAAAAAAAAGACCAAGAAGAAGACCAACGTGAAATAATGCACCTCTAAACGCCGTAGGTTTTGAAAAAGATGACTTTGTGAGACGGAAATTAGTAGTTGAAAATCATGAGTGAAGGGTTGAGAAGCAGGGGGAGGAGAGCATGGAGAGACAGGGTCACGGCCATAGGGACGACGGCGGCAACCTCTTTGATCTCCCAGCCTCGCGGCGCAAAATTTCCAAGATATATCATCCCGCCAATCAAGGGGATCAAAACAGCATACATCCACTTGAAGCTCTTGAATATCTTGGGTATCTCCTTGAAGAAGTTGGAGTCAACTTTCTCCTTTGCCGTGGCGCCCCATTCCATCTTGATAGAGAACATATGGGAGAGGAGTGCTAAGCTGAGGTGGAAGGAGACGCCTCCAAAGAATATAGCCATCATGGGCATCCATTTGAAGTTTTCGACGAGGGCGGACCACAGGCTTTTTTCCGACAGACGCGATCGTATTATAGCAAGGGTTACGTTGCCGAGAAGAGAGAACACAACAATAAGACTCAGAAGTACTAGATAGACGGTTAGCCACGTCTGAAAGAGATGCTAATATTGGGAATGCATACCTTTCCAAGACTCGATATAAAATTTGTCCAAGTAGCCATTGAACCAGCCTACCAAGAAGTAGTTGAGGATAGTGAGCGGAAATCCAGAGGCGAGGGCATAGTCTAAGATACGTTAAAATTGACATATTCCAGTGGACAGGGGTTGAAGAAAAAAGCTTCATACAGGAAGAGATATACCCCAGGATGGTAATCTTGGATGAAAGCTGCATGTTGCACCAGAGGAATGTCATGAAGAGCTTCGTAAAAGGCCCCTTATATATCCAGGTATAGATCGGGTTGAATACTAATTCGTTGCATCCATATGCGTATCTTTAGGGAAGGGTTAGCATCCCTCAGATAATCCCGAAGAGATAGAAAGACGAAGACCTACTTTTCCCATCTTGCCAGTTCATCGTAGATAGTTAGGGATACACCCTCCTTGAATTCATCCCCATGGTAGCTTGCCAGACGAACAATATCACCCGCAATTTGGAGCCGAAGTGCAATGTCGAAATCTTCCGACACATGGCTCTCAGACCAGTAGGCTACATAACCATCGTCTGGTTTCCCTACTGATTGAACAGCTGGTAAGGTTAGTCGGGGTGAGCATATAGAATAGATGTGGCGACTATGGCCAGGGAAAGCGTACCTTTCCAGCGAAGGAATGCATTGTGGCCGACAAACGGCGCCGTTTCACCACTGCCAACGGCAAACCGGATGGAGGAGTAAATAAGGTTGGTGAAGAATGTGATTCCGTTCTCAAAATAATCCCCAACGACTTGCATGACGCCTGTTGAATGCTGGATGATGGCCACTTCAGGGCTTAAGAACATTTCCGCTGCCCCATAGAGTAAACAATCGACCGGCTGCGAATTCTGTTAGTATTTCCATTTAAACAAACATGCCAGGGAGTAAATGGGGAGCCTACGACTCGAGTATCAGCGTCAACAATAAGAATTGCTTCTCCGATTCGTATATCTCCAGCGGCCTTGATCCGACTATCAGAGGCGAGAACCTCTTGCAGGGCCAGTTTGTAATAAGCCTCTTCTTGAGATGCATCTATCATTTCGGTTGTTTCTAGGGTCTCTGCTAGCATCTCTAGCAACTTGTCTTCCACCTTGTTTGAGACGTTGAGTGCAAAATTCATGTTGGAGGCCTTCTTAAATCTGCCCTTCCGGATATACCCGTCTTGGTTGTTCTTTGGCCGCGAGACCCATCCAATGTTATTGTCATGGTAGAAACTGATACGTTCTTCTCGCTGCTCCTCGGTAAGATATGCGAGGCCGTCATCATTGACAAAAATTGTGGCAGTCCCTATTCTATGATATTAGCTAAAGCATCAGGGGAAAATGGATAAGTTTTTGTTTAGACGCACCTCCGTGGGATTCGTAATAAGATATAGCAGCTTTCAGACTAGTTACTGTAGGAATAATAACTCCAGTCAGGGATTCTGTGTATACCGGCAGTTGGATGGTAATGCGCGGCGGCTTGAAGCCCAAGGCATATGCCTGCGTGAGGTCCGGCCGGACAGGGGAGTAGAATCGAGAATTCGTTTTGAGTGTCTTGATAGGCCCAATCGCCTGGAAGATATCTGAAAAGATCACTATGACGAAGAAGACGCTGAAAAGCATGAATATCGGCAGGGAGGCCACCAATGCGAATCTAAGCCAGGATCCGTCAACGAGAGGTTGCAGCATGAGGTTCGAGACACCGAATCCCACAAGGAGAACTACAATCAGGCACATCCCAAGGCCCACGAATATGGAGCTTGTCAAGGCCAGAGGCCGATCCAGGGACTCTATCGGTTTCGCTGCTTCCTCGACCGCGATACCCAGGGGGGAATTTGCCAGTCCACTGGCCTCTTTGTTCCAAAGGGGCACGAAGTTGCGGGTTGAGGCAGCTGGGGACCCGATACTGGAGTGTGGAAGAGAGTAGCTGGGTGACTGCGAGGGAGCAATTACGGAGATGCGCGTTCCGCATATCTACTGCAGGTGTCAACGCTTGTCTGTTTGATACTAACTTGGGCTAAGGAACTGGGAATGACAACATACGAATGCAAGGAGCTTCTCTTCGACATCCTCAGCATGGATGAGGATCTTTTCTAGCTCGTCATGCCAGATCAATAGGAGTCTCTCTTCCCTGACCAAGGCCACGTACTGGAATTTCTTGACTGCGCTTGATGGGGAGCAAGCGATCTCTGCTAGAGATTCGACCACTTGGACCTGGAACCCGCTAGGGAGAATCAATTCGGTCTGGTCTGGCTGGAGGATGGAGAAGATGATTCTTGTGATCTCTGTGGCCATGGTAAAGGCGACGGCAACATTGATCTTCTGTACTGCGCCGAGCAGTAATGGATGAACCAGATCCGGCTCGGAGATGTAAACACCCCGGGATTTTCGAAGTAGAAGTCCATGGTATTCACTGTTGGGATCCGATGGGGGAGGGCACCATTTGCTAGTAGCAAGTCTTGCATGTAAATATTTAATTATCTAGGACTGTCAGTTCTGGGTATCCATGGCATTGGGCTAAATTGAATTGCATTGAATGGATGGATGGGATAGAAATGAAGCTCTTACAGCTTTATATTTTGCATCATCGTCAATTCCAACAGGCGTCTGCGTCCCTGAGTGAGAGATTGGTCGACTGTATGACTCAGGGACAGAAGACAGGCCGGACTGCCTTGGAGGAGACGGAGCCGCAGACTGCTGCTGCTGCTTGTCCGTCTTTGAACGTTTCCAGAACATCCCTGCGATATAGCTGTGTACGGACAAGCATGAACAATTGGATGGCCTGCTGACGGAAGGGATGTGAACCCCCTTAAGAGAGGAAGCAGAAAACCATCCGGGGACACACTGTGCACAGAAATATCAAAACGTCAGACAGCTCCAGTGGCTACCAAAGCAGAGCAAGCATTGAAGACGTGAATCAGACAGAGAGAGGTAAGGAGCCGAAAGAAGAGAAAAGCAACGCCGTCTTTCTTCTCTCCTCTCATCGCCTTCCCCTGCCCGCAGCTGAAGCCGCCAACCAGCCTCATTAGCTGGCGAGCTTTTCCCTTCACACCCCTCGCATCTGTTTGTCTCAGGGCTCTTTTTTCCCATCAGGGACATGCCTGTCCGCGGTAAGGAAGCAGGCAAGTCGAGCAACCCCAAGGGGCTCCGCAGAAGCCCTCCGGACATGCTATGCCGAGACTCGACGGCGTGGCAACGCCCGAGTAAGTGATCCCTGCATGGAAGATATTGGAAGATATCACACCTCGAGCGCTACCGATACACGGGCACGCCCTTTTTCTTTTCCCTAGCTTCTCTTGCCGTAATCTTGCTTGCATCCGCCACGCCCCCCTGGCTAGGTTAAGGGCGAGACGGACGCCGCGTACGGTCCATCTGCTCACAGCTACCCTGCCGGCCAACAATGCTGCAGAGTGCATATTACTGTACTTCGTTGCCTAGGCGGGAGATAATGACAGGACCGGGGTGATTAATGTCCGCCAGCCAACGAGGTGCGTCTCGTCAAGCGAAGGGCATGCCTGCAATCACGAAAGCAAATGTCCCAAGGACTGGTCGGCTGTACCCTGTGCGTCTGGACAGGGGGGAGTGTCTCTCTTCATGAGCTGTCCAAAATGCAACCGTAATTTATATATGGAACGTGAGGCAGCAGAAGGAGAGCCAGACAGGCGAATGTTGTCCCAGGGGTTTGCAGGACTTAGCCGAATATCTCCCATCCAGCAATCCGCCAGCCAGATATCACAGGCAGATCCAAGGCAGCTCGCTGAGTTGTACTCCGTATACGGCGGCCTCCCGAGGTGATTCCCAGATGCTCGGGGCCTCCGCATCGACCTGGCAGCCGGCGTCCTTGGTTGTGTCTCCGGCCCACGAGCAGTAGTTAGTACGGAGTATAGGTAGTAGTAGTATTAGTAGCAGTTAGTGGGAGGCTACGACGTTCGTCGACTTAAGGACGCAGATCAGATCCGCCGGACCAGCAAAAGCAAGCAAAGAAGAAAAGGAAAAGAAGGGAAAAAGCAAGCATCCTGCTGCAGGCAAAGAAAAAAACCGTCGTCGTATTCGCGAGTTTGTTAAGGGGTCCTCCACAGGCCAGGACAAGCCAGAACGGCCTCCTATCACCAGCCTCGCACAGCTTCTCGCAGCTGTCTCGAGTGTCATCGAAATGCCGAAGAACACCGCGAGAAGGGGAAATTCTCTCCGCCCGGCGGGTCGAGGGAGCATCTAGTTAACTAACCGGTTAACTAGCATGTCAACTGAGCGAAGGACATCTGCGTTGACAGCAGAAGAAGCGGTGCCATGGCCCAGGGATCCCCCCTGTCCGCCAGGTGGGCAGCGACAGAAAGGTCCCCCTCAACATTCCAACTAGCCTGAGACAGCAGATGAGATGCCTCTGGTTCGTTACATGTATCTGGGCCCGATCTTATCTCGGACGACCAGGGAGATGCCATGCAGTGCGCGGCGCAAGTGAGAATGTTGGACGGATAAGAGATTGTGCCTATATTATGGGCCGCCAGGGGGGGAGGAGAGTGTATGGCAAATCGAGTATATACGGAGCCAGATTGTCTGACCAAGGCGACGGCGGACTGGCACGCTAGCATAAAGAAGACGCGATGCACCGGCTGGGCGAGTGTGATATCGGGCTCTCCAGACGCTGATGCCAGGCAGAGAGATGGAGAAAGCAGCTTTGCAGGACCCCTTTTCCAGCAGCGTGGCCACCTCTGTGCGGACGGCCTCATACCACTCGCAGCCGTCCGACAGACAGCCAGGCCGGCGCCAGCAGTTCAAGTCGTACCGACTGAACGGCGAGTATGAGCGGCCGTGGCTGGGGGACAGCCGCCTGAAGAGATCGCGCGTTGGCTCCTACATCATCTGGGGCTTCATCGGGCTGGGGCTGGCCCTCAGTGCGTACATCAACTTCACCGTCACCCAGAAGGTGTCGAAGCACCAGGCAGGTTACATACATACATACATGTTCATTACTTGTTTAATTGCCGTTTAACTGCTGTTTACCTTGCTTGCTTTTCTGCTGATAACTAGTGTGGACTCGTCGCTAACTGGTATTTATAGTACTGCCTTATACTGGACGACCAGTTCTCTTCGCTCAATGAAGCCACATGGAACCGCGAGGTCCAGGCATGTTTGATCTCCCCCGGCTGCTGTTTGACAGCGTGCAGTGGAAGAAGCGCTAACTGCAGGCATAGATCGGGGGATTCGGGACTGGAGCCTTTGACTGGACTACGACGGACGAGAAGAACGTGTTTGTCGACGGCGAGGGCCTGCATATCGTCCCTACGCTGACGACAGAGTCGACTTCGATCACCCCCGAGCAGCTGGTCGATGGCTACACGCTGAACCTGACAAAGGCTGGCGGCGACGGATCCTGCACAGGAACATCCAACGCTGCCTGTTCGATCCGCTCGAACAAGACGACAGGGGCCATCATCCCGCCAGTCCGGTCAGCGCGGCTTAACACCCGGGGAAAGAAGAGCATCCGCTACGGGCGAGTGGAGGTTGTAGCGAAGATGCCGCGCGGAGAATGGCTGTGGCCAGCAATCTGTATGCCTGCCAGCCCCTAACTATATCAACCAGTAGGCCTGCTATAACTGTCTGCTTGTTACTGACATGGCTAACCAGGGATGCTGCCGGTCAACGAGACATACGGGCCCTGGCCATCGAGCGGCGAGATCGACCTCGTAGAGACTCGCGGGAATGACGTCGACTATCCCGCTGGTGGCAGAGACATCATGTCTAGCTCCTTGCACTGGGGTAAGTCTCCCACGTCCCGCTAATTCTGCGTGCCTATAACTGACTGCTGATCGACAGGACCAACGCCGGAGACGGATTCGTTCTGGCGGTCGACGAGAGGCAGGGCGCTGCGGCGGACCGACTTCTCCAAGGGCTTCCACACCTTCGGCATTGAGTGGTCGAAGGACTACTTGTTCACCTACATTGACAGCCCGCTGCAGCAGGTCCTGTTTTGGAGCTTCGACAAGGACCAGACCATGTGGCAGAAGGGCCACTATGAGGGCGTGGCCGTCAACTCCTCGCTGGTCAAAGATCCCTGGTCCCAGACCGGCAATCCAAACACCCCCTTCGACCAGCCGTTTTTCCTCATCCTCAACGTCGCCGTGGGCAGCACAAATGGCTGGTTCCCTGACGGCAAAGGAGGCAAGCCGTGGACTGATGTCGGCCAGGCAGCGTCAGACTTTTACTCCAGTACGTAACTAATTTGACTTGACCCCTATTAACTAGTTACGTGTCCGAGATCAGGTCAGCTAATTCACCCGCACAGGCATGGACAAGTTCTACCCGACCTGGCCCAAGGACAACAGCCGCGGTATGACCGTCAGGTCAGTAAAGATGTGGCAGGAGGGTGCCTGTGGATGATATAAAACACAGCATCATTGTAATAAACCCAGTAACTAACTAGCAAGTTCCTCCATCACCTTGTGATAAGTGCTCGATTTGATTGCTGTCTCTCGTATTATTTACTTCTTCGTAACCGCGCCAAGCTGTCTGCAGGTGAAATTGCCGAGATAACGAGTTAACTAACACTATTCAGTGTTATCACTGTCAATACTGAACTCTGCTCTCAAAGCTGATCCCTGCAGCCGGAATCACAGTGAAGGATGCCGAGCAGGCCAACAGCAGACCTACTTACAGCGAGGTGAGCGAGTGTTGACTCTCGATATGCTGGCCAGGAGAAAAAAAAGCAAAGAATCGCCCAAAAAAAGATCAAAACCTAATCTCAGACAGGGGCAAGGGGTGCAATATATTGACCAGAGTGATGCAATGTCTCTTCTTTTCTCGCTGTCTCGCCTCCAGGGATACCGGGGTTGGGCTCCGTATCTTGTTGCCAGGCCCGCTATTCTCCAGGCTAACTCCGACAGATGGCGAGTGGCATGGCGATGCTTTGGAGCCTCGAGTTGCAGTTTCACCAGACTGCTAGGGAATTTGCCAGGGGGGTGTCGTTTGACCTGTTCCTCTCGACGAACTCCTGCACGACAGGCTGTGGTAGCAATTGCGTACAGACAGGCCAGATCTGTGCACCCAGTGGCTATCCCACGGCAACTGTACTCTGCATGCAACGGATGGACTGGCCGGAGCAGTGAATATCTTGCATAAAAAGGAATGAGGCCGCAATCACACGAGCCAGCGTTCGCCCATCACACCCTTGGTCCGGCCCATGGGAGAGGATCAGCCGTGGAATGTTCGTCCAGAGGACCCTTCATGCCCCAGCCCGCCACTGGTGAACTCCGGGGATGCTAAATTTGTTCTTTTTTTTTTTTTTTTTTTTTTTTTTTTTTTT